CGGCCGCAGCTCGGCGGCACGTGGTTCTGTTCAAATGCACCACGGCCCCTTCCACCCTGGCCTCAGTAAGGCCCAGGTGGCCAGATGCATGCATGCCCGCTTGCGGCTCTCATACCCCACCCCCCAGCACTCACAATGGGTTCATTCGACGCTCTGTGGGGCGCCCAAGGGGCTCACACAAGCAATTGGCAATTGCGGAGCCCTGTGCTCGCCTCTTCCACATCCCTCCCGCCCTCTCCCGTGGCCTACATACATTTCCTCGTGCCTTTATGGTGCCACCAGCGCCAATGGCGCGCACCTGAGCGTCCCAGCAAGGGGTGATGGTTGGCCCAGCCTCTTTCACCCTCTCTCCTTGCGTGCACGCTTCCCACTGCTGGACCGGGGAGGGCGGTGGCCGGCCCTGTCGGTGACAAGAGTGCTAAATGATTTGTGAGCATGATTGTAACCACTAGCTTGAGGAGAGCATTCTGCAGAGGGGGTAGTCAAGAGTCTGTGGGCGCCAGCTGCAGGGCGCCATTCAAAAATGCCAAGCTGCAGGGAGGCGTTTCCCGGTCCGCCCGCGCGTCCAAACCTTTTCTAACACTATTTCAATGCGATCAAGGCACGTGGCCCGCGAGTGAAGTTGGTTTTCAGGCGGTTTTGCGCCCACTGACAGGTGGTGGGAGCTCGCTGCACACTTGTAGGGCGTGTTGGCCCGCTTTTCAAGAGCCCAATGAGTGTACAAAAATGGGTGAATCGAGCGGCTGGCGGGCATGCACGCATGAGGGCGTCCAGGCCCTAAGGTGGGCAAGGGTGCACGTGGCAGAGGTGCTGTTCGCATCGCCAAGCGTGCAGCAGCGCCGAACCACGCTTCCCGGCCTCGGCGCATGCCTTCAGGGGCCCCCTATCGCTGGGCACACCCCTCCAACACCGAACATGCGCCCGGGGGGGAGGGCGGCCCGGGCTGCCCAGGCCAAAGTGGGCCGCCCTCGAGCAAGAGGCGGCCGGTTTGTGTGCTGAATGAAGCTACTTGGTGCTGGGATGTGAATTGCTTCTCGTTGTGGCGCAATGACTTCACGCGTTGAACCCTTTCAGCTTGCAGCGCTTTAACATGTGCGTGTGTGATTGCGGGTGAATGCAGCGGTGACATCCATGGGGGGCGCCTGGTTGTGGGCCGCCGCCCTGGTGGCGACGGCCGTCGTCTCAAGTGCACCGCCTTGCGCTGCAGCCGTGAAAAAAGGTGATTTGCCTTCCTGCAGCCGTTCGATACGAACCTGCTCGTCACATCCTGCAACAGTCTTCTGGCTGATGGATCTCTTGCAAAAGCCCCCAAAGCCTGCCCACGAGTGGCGCGCCAAGCGGCACCCAGCCGGCCCTGCCTGCAGCAAATTTGTACGCGCCCCACGTTGCGCGACATGTCTGCATCCTGCTGCCCACAGTTAGCACCGCTTCCTGCCTGCAGAGGTCCCAGCCATCAGATTTGTGGAGAAGGTCACACCTGTGCTGGCTAGTCCCCTGCCCGGTGCACCCTCCATCGGGACTCTCAGCCGATGCAAAGCCATTCTACATGTTTCCTGCCAGCAAGACCGCCACCGCTGTCGCAAACCCCACTGACAAGCTGTGCTGGGTCAAGGTCAAGGCAGGGAAAAAGACGGGCTGGGTGGCCGCATCCCAGGGGACAAACAAGAAACGTCAATGCAGCGACGTGGACAAACGTGCTTCTTCTAAGATCACCCCCCTCTTGGACTATCTGTCGACGAAGTGCAGCGGTAAGGGGGGGCATGGTGTGTGCGCACATCAGGTCTGGCCTCCTTGCTGGGTGTCCAAGCGATGGCGGGACGAGCAGTCCAATTGCGTGGTGAAATTGGTACTCCTATATGCTGCAGCTGCCTACTGCCCCATGGTGACGGAGGTGAACGCCAACCTCAAGAGCCATGGAGTGTGGACGAAAAATATCATTGCCACAAAGCTGCTGGAGGATCAGGGCAGCTGCTGCCTGGAATGCAAATCAACACCCAGGTGGGTCCGCTGTGGGTGGCACCTCAGAGGGCTTCCAAGCTGAGAAGCTAAAAGTTACTGGACATCGATATCGCATGCAGGTGCGTTGGCACCAGCTACTATGAAAAATCCAAAAAGTGCATCATGACGAGCAACATCTGGCAAGTGCCCGACCCAACCGCCGACCTCGATGGCCTGCAAACCAGTTCAAAGGGGACCTTTGGTGAGGGCTGCCAGGGCTGCTGGCTGGCTGCAATCATGCAGTTGCATGCGTTGCTGCTGCTACTGCTTCAGCGAGTACCCGAGGGCAGGAGGCAATAGGTAAAGGTAAAGGTGGGGAAGAGCCTCCACAGGCTTAACTTCCCGGTTTTAACGTCTAGCTTTAGACCATTATTTGATCTGCCCGACGCGCCAAGTGCAGTACCCCCCACTATGCACGACGCAGCTTGCCATGTCCATGCATGTCGGCATGCCGCTGTGTGTTTGTCCGGCGCTGCAGTTGATGCATACGTCACGTCCAACAAGCCGCTGATCCTCTGGGAGTATGTTAAAGGCTATCAGGATGACATTGGCAACACGTATGAAAACCACTACCGCAAGACAATCACCAAGGCTGCCTACGCCAAGGTGTCGGTCAGCCTCAACCGGCAGGGCGTCGTACGCGACCCGGACGCCTTTGCCAGCAGCATCCCGCACAAGCCGGGCGACTGCTATGTGGACGTCTTGCACGACGGCCAGTTTAAGCTCATCCTGAAGTCCACTGGCGGCCCGCTGGCCGACTTCCCCTGCTACAAGCCCAAGAAGGTGCTCTTGTCGCTCAACAAGTGTGGTTGAGTAAAGTTCATGTTCTGCCGCGGCCCTAGCAAGCAGGCGCTTGCGTGTGTTTGATTGCTGCGCTGGTCTCCCTCCGTTACCAGCCAGTGGCCTCCTGGCGTGCATCCCGTAGTTCACTGGCAGCTGCCCGCACCACTGCAGCCTGCTAGCCCCTGTTTCTGCCCTCTTTTTGTAAGGCTGTTGATCCTTGATTGATTGATTGATACTCAAGCGCTTGCCTTAAGTTGGTGATTTTCATGTTTATCATGTGCGGGTGCTTGCTTTGCTTGTGTGGGCTTACCGTCTGGTTTCGGCAAGAACAAGCTTGCAGCACTGTCGCCAAACAGTTTGATACATGAGGCAGCGCACTAGTTGCGTGGTGGAGAGAGAGAATGCGTAAACTGAGGAAGAGGAAAGAACACCAGGGCTGGCAGGCAGGGGTCACTTGTCTGGAAAACCGGGGGCCACCGCAGCATGTGCCCCCGGCGCAGCCACGTACACGCGCGCGCCGCCCCCGTTGGGCGGCGCCACCACCCAGCCTTGGCACAGGCCATGCAGCGAGGCTGGCGGCTCCACGCCCAGCTTCACCACGACTTCTTCTCAAAGCTGTGCATGTCGTGGATGCCGCCCTCCGCCTGCGCAGCCCCCGTGCGGCACTCCAGCCGCTGCTCCCCGCGGTCCAGCCGCTGCCAGGCCTCCGCCAGCGACTTAGCGCCCAGGTCCTGCAGGGGGGAAGAGGCAGGGGCCGGGGCGGTACGGGCAAGGCGGTAAGGTTAGGTGCTGGCCGCGCAGGTGGCAAGGGGCAGTGCGGCAGCAACAAAACAAGCGGCGACCAAGCAAGGGTGGTGAGGCTCCAGCACACACGGCGGTGGGTACGGCACAACATGCGGCCGGCAGCCGGATGGGTGTGCTCTGTAGCACTCGCCTGGAAGCCCTGCTTCACGGCCTGCACAAGGTACGGCACGTTGCGCCGCACGCTGCCCTTGTCGTGCACTGCGGGCCAGGGGAGGCAGGTGGGTGGTGGTGGTTGTGTGGGCCGCCGAGTGGCGGTCCTGTGTGCGACTAAGTGTTTTAGATGAAGGCATGGCCAGCCAGCAGCCAGAGCCGCGGTGCTCACCGGTGCCGCTCACGCCCTGCGCGATCTTGAGGGATTGGGTGTCGGAGTGGTACCGCACCTGCGGGAACAGAGGCAGTACCAGGCACACCGCCCCGAAAGGCGCCGGGCGCGTCGGCTTGCGGGCGGCCGGGCCGGCGGCAGGAGGCAGGGCAGGCAGGGGGCTGCTGTCGCCAACATCTCTCCATCGCTTTGGATCCAATCCAACCGCCTGTCCAGCTAGCTAGCTAGCATGCCCCATCCGACCACTATCAGCCCATCCAGCTTGCCTCGCTGCCCTTGGTCATGGCCTCCAGCGAGCCCATGCCGCGGTACTTCTTCACCCGAGCGCCGCCGACGTACATGTAGTCGCCTGCGGGGCAGCGGGAGGCGGGGAGGCGGGGACCTCTGAACAGCTCAGAGGGAGCTCGAGCTCGACAAGGGAGCCCGTCTTGAGGCGGCCGCCTGTTGCGGGGAGCTACTGGTTGAGCGGCGGGGCCCGGCGCGGCAGCAGGGCCTGGAGCCGAGCTGCCCTCTTAAGAGGGGGAGCGAGCGGGGCTGCGTCAGGCGTCAGGCGGGCGGCCGGGCAGGCGCGCAAAGCGACAGGGCCGCGGCGGCGCGCGGCGGCGGCGGCTCACCCGGCGCCTCAGCAGTTCCAGCAAACATGGAGCCGCACATGACAGCAGACGCCCCCAGTGCCAGCGCCTTCACCACGTGCCCGCTGTTCTGCACGCCGCCGTCTGCGGGGCGGGGAGCGGCGCGGGGAGGGAGGCGAGGAGATGGCGGGGCAGCGGGCGGTGCGATGCGGGGAGGGGGGTTGGGAGGGGGGCCCGGCGCGGCAGGGGTCTGGCCGCAGGCAGGCCGAGGCGGGAAAGGGGGCTGGGCAGCCACCCACACCCGCCAGCAGCGCTGGGCCTCCACATCAAGCGCAGGAGCACCGGGCTGCACGGCCCACGCACACGTAGGCAGCAGCGGGCCCGCCCCCGCGCCTCACCCGCAGTGATGGGCACCCCAAGCGAGTTGGCCAGGCGGGCGGTGTGGTAGACGGCGGTGGCTTGGCCGCGCCCAACAGCGCACACCTGTGGGCGGGCGGACAGGCAGGCGTATGGGGTGTGGGGCAGGCGCGCCGCGGGCATGTGTGTAGGGCAGGAATGTGTTGGGGACACCGCGGGCATGAGTTGGTCTGTGAGGGGCGGGCCAGGCGCACCTCCTGGGTGGTGCAGATGGATCCGCTGCCCATGCCCACGCGCAGCCCGTCGGCGCCAGCCTCAATCAGCCGCCGCGCCTGCAGAGACAGGAGCGGGTGGCGAGGACGAGGAGTGAAGCGTTTGCTATGCCAGGGTCAATAGAATATGAGCCGAGGGTGGTACGAGAGAGGCGACAGGCATCCGGGTGGCGGGAGGAGCCGAGGGGCGCGGCAAGCGCATGCCGCCAGCGCTGCTGCCGGCAGCGGCTGGGGTGCGGGCGCAGCGCGTGCAGGGCGGGTGCGGGCGCGGGGCGGGGGGGGCCTCAGGCTAACGAGATTCCACCGTGCGTTGATCGTCAGAGAGTGGTCGGATGGTACGGACAAACACGAGGCTCATCACCAGCCCCCCCCCACTTGCCCGCCGCCACGTGCAGCTGCAGCTGCCTCCCGCGGACGCAGAAAGGCACTGGCAGCACAAGCACCAGCATCATCACTCGTGCCAGCCGCAGCAGGCAGCGAGAGGAGAGGCCGCAGCAGGCAGCAGGCAGCTGACAGGGGTGAAACACGGGACCAGAGGTCCCGTCTGGCAGAAGGGCATGCGCGCAGGGGCCCGTGCGGCAGCTGCCGCGCACCTGCCAGGAGGTGACCACGTTGCCGCAGATGACATCCAGGCCGGGATGCTCCCGCTTGATGTGCTGCACCATCTCGACCTGGAAGGAAGCGAGACAAGAAAGAAGGCGTGCGGCCTCGGCGCAGGGCCGGCGCAGCCAGCTGGCCGCCTCGCGCGGGCCGGCGGCAGCCCCGCAGGGGCAGCACCTCATCCGATCCTGCGGGCCACAGGCTGCCTCGAGCTGGGTGTGCTGCTGCTGCATGACAGCTGAAAAGTACCTGGAAGGTGGAGTCTCCCTGGCTGGAGTCGAGCACTACCACATCCACGTGCCCCACATCCCTGCAGCGCAGGGCATGTGAGGTTGGTGCAGTTGCACTAGTGTGTGTGTGCGTGTATGTGTGGGAGGGAGTTGTGGCTGCCAACCAGCGCATGTACTGGATACTCCCGGTTCAGGAGAGCAGGCAGCACGCCAAGGCTGGGCTCCAGCTGGCAGCCACACCGGCCCAGAAGCCGATGCAGCCACCAGCCCAGCCGCCAGCCCAGCCCAGCACAGCACAGGCCTGCACAGCCCAGTCCAGCCCAGCTCAGCCTGCCCACCTGAGCGCCGCCACGCGCTCCCTGTCCGCCTGGCGTGTGCCCACCGCCGCGCCCACCAGCAGGCGGCCGTCGGGCGCCACAGAAGCGGGGCCTGCAGGGGCCCCGGGGGCAGCGTGGGGTGCAAGCAAGCGTGGGGTGGCAGGGTGGCCGCATGCGGGGAAGGCCAGGCGCAGCAGCCATGCCTTGAAGCCGGCGTGCCGCCCACCGCACCGCATCGCCCCGGGTGCCTTGCCCCAGGCCTCCCAGGCCTCCCATCTCAGCGCCATGCATCACCCCATGACCCAACCATGGCACCAGCGCCCCGGCACACGCGCCACCCAGCCCCAGGCCACCCAGCCCCAGGCCAGCCAGCTATGAGCCCCACCCAGCTGTAAGCCCCACCCACCTCCCAGCGGCAGGCGGGCATCCTCGCGGAACAGCGCCCGCGTGGCCAGAGCCAGCAGCTCGCCGCTGCTGTTCACGATGGGCAGCTTGCCGCGCTTGGAGGCCTTGAGCAGCTGCATCGCCTTCTCGGCCGTGATGGTGTCTGCAGGGGGCGGCGGGCGAGATGTGGTGTGTGGTTTTGGAGCGTGTGGTTGTGGAGTGTGTGAGCTGATGAGCATGGGGTGTGTGACCTTCAACCGAGAACAACTGTTCAAAATGAGAAGAGAGCCACAACCAGCCAGGGCTCGACGCAGCAAACGCTCACCTCTCTCTCTCTCTCTCTCATACACAAACCACACAAACAACCACACAGGCAGCCCCCCCAGGCTCACCATACTCTGCCGCCTCCACATCCTTGGTCATCACCTCTCCCAGCGGGGTGTGCAGGTCTGCCACAAAGTCCCAGTCGCGCGTCGTCACGATGCCCAGCAGCTTGCCGCCCACCTTGCCCGTGTCTGCATGGGGGGCGCGGGGTGTGCGCATGCTTGTTTCTGGGTGGGTGGTACGAGGGTGCTGGTGGCAGTGGTGTGGCGCATGTGAATAGGGCTGCGGGCATGGGCCTACGGCCCGGGGTTGGGAGCATGCGAATGGCAGGACAGGGCGGGGGCAGCCTTCTACCACCACCACCACCACCACCACCACCATCACCACCACCACCCGCCCCTTCACCCTGGCCCCCACCCCAACCTGCGGCGCGCAAGGAGAGCTCACGCCCTCGAGCCCTGCCCACCCCAGCGACCGCAACCAGCCAACCGAGGTGCACCACCACCACCTTGCCACCCCCGCCTGCCGCCCCCTCAGCCTGAGGCCCCACCTGTGACGCACACAGAGGTGAAGCCCTTGCGCTCCTTCAAATCGTACAGCTCCGCCACTGTGCTTGTGGGGGCCATGCACACCGGGTGCACCACAAAGCCGGGGGTGTGGTTCTTGGCGGTTTTGACCTGAGGGCACGGTTGGGATGGAGGAGGCGGGGGTGGGTGCACGGCAGGCGTGGGGGTTGGGAACCAGGCGGCCAGGCTGCCGGGCCTGGCCCCGGCCTCCAGCAAAACCAGCAGCACCTCCACGCTGCCGCCGGCTGGCCTGGCGCCCACCAGCCCATACCAGGCCAGCGGCCCTGCAGGCGCATACACATGGCGCAGCTGCTCCTGCAGCCCCACACCGCCTGTCCCCTGCATGCACGCACCCAGGCCCCAGCCCCAGCCCCAGCCCCCAGGCCCCCGGTCCAGCCCCCGCCCCCACCTGGTGCAGCTGCTCCTCGAGCGAGTTGTTGTAGTGGATGATGCCCATGCCGCCCACCGCCGCCATCGCCACCGCCATGCCCGCCTCCGTCACTGTGTCCATGGGCGAGGAGACGAGCGGGGTACGCAGCTTGATGTTGCGGGTCACAAAGGTGGAGAGGTCCACCTGCGGCGGTGGGGGGATAGGGGTGGGGTGGTGGGGGCTGGGAGGAGTGGGAGCGGGGCAGGGCAGGCAGGGCTGGGACCGGCGGCGCCAGGCGCGGCGCGGCGTGCGGTGCAGGCGGCCGTGGTGCGGCTGGGAGCGGCAAAGCTATGCTGGCACGCGGCCTACACCCCGAGGGCACACTCTTCTCCTCCTCCCTCCCGCGCCTGGCGCCCGCACCTGGTGCGCTCCAAAGCTGATGTGCCCGGGCAGGAAGATGACATCGTCATAGGTGTAGCTCACGCCCTGGCCAAACAGCTTGGGCGCGGAGAAGCCTGCGGGAGGAAAGCGATGGGGGCCGGAGCAGCAGCGCGAATTACAGGCGGCGCGGGGCGAGGCAGTGGCGGGCTGGCGGCGGCGGCGGGGGTTGTGGCGGAGTGGTGGCGGGGCGGCTCAGGGGCAATGCAACGGCTGCCCATGGGATCCATGAGCACAGACGGGCGCGAAGGCCCCCCCGTTTTGAGCCCTGGGCTGCCGGGCTCATGCATGCTCTGGTTGGCTGCACCATCGGGCTCCCCACCATCGGCTATGCTGTCGTCCCACGTCGGGCGGAACATCCCGTTCTGCATGTTGCGTGCCAAGCCCGATCCCGCAGCGGCAGGGCGTGATGAGCCCTGCACGTTTTTTGGCCGCTGTCGCCACAAAGCAGGGCGCACGCTGCAGCTTGCAGTCCCCTTCACGAAGATGCACTGCAGTGCCCTTCTGGGGTTGGCGCTGTGTGCCAGCCTGTGGTGACCGGGCGCACCGCCAGTTGTCCAAATGGCGGCGGGAGGCGACCAGCGAAGCCAATGCACTGCCCACACTGCACTTGCTCGCAGCTCGGTCATTACCATTGAATCACAATTTGAATATATTCAGTATAGTGGACAGGCAGATGCGCAGCAAGGAGGCGGGAGGCACAGCCGCCAAAGCCGTGAAGGCTACCCCAGCACAGCAAAGAGCTCATCATCATAGTCAGAGCCCTCCCCCTCCTTCTTCACCGCCTGCTGCTCCGCCGGCGCCGCCGCTGGCTCCGCCGCCGCTGCTGCTACCGCAGACGCCGCCGCTGCAGGCAGCCCCACCGCGGCCGGTTCAACGTGCGCCTGCGGCGGCGGCTGCTGCGGCTGCGCGCCGTTGGATGCCGCAGCTGCCACTCGCTGCTTCTCGTGCTCCGCGGCCTCCGCCTCTGCCATTGCCTTGAGCTGCTGCGGGGACAGCAGGCCCATGGACTGCGGTACCAGGTTCTTGTCTGAGTATATGGAGTACAGGTTCTGGCTGTACAGCTGCTGCAGCAGCTCCTCCACGCCTGCACGGATGTGGGCCGAGGTGGGATGGGCTGGGACGGGCTGGCGGCTGGCTGGGAGGGCTGGGGTGAGAGGCAGGCGTGGGTGGTGCGCGCGGCTGCGAACCAGGCAGCAGCTGCTCTCCCTGCTCCAGCTCCACCACCACAACAGTGTGGGCAGGGCCGCCCCCCAGCCACCCTCCTCCCAGCCGAAACCCTTTCAGGCACAACTGAACACAGCCTCCACTCCACACCGCCTTACCTTCCAGGTGTGCCTCCTGCACGCCCTCCGCCACCCACCACAGCTGCCCCCGATCTGCAGCAGGGGCGCGGCGCAGGCCGGGCAGCTGCTTGGAGGCGCGCAGCCGAGGCAGCTGCTGACACGGGATGGTACCCAGCAAGCGGGCCACCCGCTCAGTGCTGGCATGCTGGTCAGCGCCAGGGCATGCACACTGCAGCCCCGCCGCTCCCTCCACCCCTCCTGCTACCTACACCTCCGCTGGAGCCGCCCAAGCTGTGCCTCACTCTACATTTTCCAACACACACCCACACCCACCAAGCAGCGCCTTACTCTACAGTCTCCAGCACACACCCACACACCCACCCCCACCCCCAACACACACACACACACAGAAGCAGCCTCCCTGCCCCCTCACCCGTGTAGATGTGCGACTCCTCCTTCAGCAGCTTCATGGCCAGCCAGATGCAGGCAACCGCGATCTGGCGGCCGCTGAAGTGCAGGCAC